ATACTGATTTACAAAGTAAGACATCAGTAGTGTTGCTTGCATTAGGTCACGACATTGGAATGAGCGGCCAGCATCGTCTGTAGATGTATCTTGAGTGATCTGCATGACACAGGCCTATATTATTCAGGGATTGGCTGCTCTCCGTTTGACACTCGTCAATGCCACGTGACGTCATAGCTAGCAATAGTTCATTAAGTTTGGTGCGATGAAGCAGAGGCTTGTGTTCACTTTGGAATTGCCCTTTAACTGAGCACCTTAATACCAACCCCTTTCAACCCCGCCACTGTGTTGCCCGCGTTCATCCTAATAAAACGCATAATAAACATGAAAGAGGACAACGTTCTACGGGCTTTGGATGCAAGGCCATGGCGGCGGCGACACTGTCGGTGCCGTAGATTCCGCCGACAACGGCATTGCGGAGCAGCGTCATGTACTTGTCTTCGTCGGATGCCGTCACAAGTCATAACCGCATCCGACGTGAAGCAGCTATGTCGAAGTACTTTGTCGTGGTCGGTGACAAAGTACTACGGAAACTCGTGCGACTTGCCCAACTCATTGAGGCGCGCCAAATCTAACGACCCCTCGTTGTGCCAACACAATGACCCGAGTGCGATGTTGAACTCATTTGTCATTGAATCATTCAATGACAAATGAGTGCCATCCCCTACTACGCTACCGATCTTCGATTGAATGTAAGGTTGCATGTTGGTGCAGGCCAACGACCACACCACTTCCACCATAACCGTATCAAAAATCCGGATAATCGATGATTCGCAAATATTCGTAAACGGCTAGTATCTTACAAACATTTCAGAACTATAGTTTATTCAAGTGTATGACAATTAGATAATTGTCGTTTACGAATATTTTCCATTCGCAAACCAAGTGTTAAGTTTGGTTTAACCGGACGAATATTCGCAACGCCCGAAATATCCATTCGTAAACGAGTACTATTTACAGTTATTAATAACAAGTCCCCCTAGATGCTAGACAGCGAGCCGTTACTCTGGAATTCTGGTTAATTGAGTTTGGATTATCATTAACGTTAACCAGAAAAAGCAAGGTGAAATAGGCAATTTTGTATGCAGCGCAATGTGAACCACATGATATTGTGCTTTTCATGTAGTTTGCCCGTTGTTTAACTGCGTTAAACAACCAGACGTTTAAAATAATACAAGCCCGATTGAAGATAAAACAACGTTAAACACAAGTTCTGCATTTCAGCGAATAAAACAACCCTTACTTTATTTCAGCGGCTAACTAATCGAGTTGCAGCACCAGGCCAAATTACGCCGTACAACCACCAGTTCATCACGATGCATACCGTATTAGGATGTGAAATGGGAGTACTATACATCGTGTAGTCGTAAATCGCCCTTGCCTACGTACAGTGCTAAGGTTAGAGCAGATCAAAAGTTGAAGGTATGGCATAGCTTTGAATCATTGGACAGAGCGACGACTACATGTACTGTAGCCTAACTATATCCTAACGTTATATACATTACTCGGAGTAGATAATGTTAGTACTGTAGTGATCACGGATGGGAGGTCATGTATGTGGCCATAGCTCCTTCAGTTTCATCGTCAAGCTCCTTGACATGTTGACGTAAAGCAAGTTGTTTGCCAGAATGAAAACCGCAAACAACTTGTTTTACGAAAGTGCCAGTAAAACCACCTTCAACCAACCAATCATCGCATTAGATGAAGTAACTTTAAACAACGCACCCAACCGTTATTCAAGTTACTTTAGACATTATTTAAGCCTGAGAAATTTTTAAACAATGAATTTAACCCTGGAATTGCCAAAAAAGGTGCAAAGCACAATATATGGTCGTCGCATTAAATTACAAAAGACACCGCGAAATTTTAGTATTCCAAATTCGATTTACGTTTCGAAACATGGTGTTCGCACGAAACAAACACACTCAGCTGCTACTTCGAAGTAGTTGGCATCAAGCTCATCGAACGCGTCTCTTTTCGACACAAATAATATCAGGTCCGGTACTTCTACATTCACAACATCATCGTTTCACCATTAATCATTGCTCCTTGTATGCCGCAACGTCCCCTTCCGTCAACGCATCCTACAACCAGTCGTCTGCCTACAGGTTAAGCACCTCAGGTCCCTCGAATTTCGTTTCCTTGTCCACGATTTTCAAGATTTCTTTGCAAAACGATGAAATCGCTGTTTCTCGGCCCACAGAACGCCTCACGCGATTTGGAGACCAGTTTTGGACTCTCCAAGAACAGGCATATTTATTGATTTATATGCAAAAATGAACACTAGATCAAATTTGGCTACACCCTACTCATCGGTTTCACCCTCCATGACGCTCTTGACGTCCTCGCTTCCCCAAAGGAAAGAATTGCAGTGGAGGAACAATTGCTCTTCAAAGTTTGATGGCAGCACACTGCGACGGCGGTCGATCATCGCCCACTTCGTCACAGAGAACAGCCGCTCGCACATGCTCGACGTCGGTCGAAGGAAACGGCAGTCGAGGTAGTTACTCCGGGCCTGCAGCAACTTGCGACGCTTCAATGCACGAGCCGCCATGCTCATGCTGTCCGTGTCACCCACATACACACCATCGGGCATACTCGGCGTAGACAACAGAGCAATCGCTATACGCTCGTCCTCATTAAGTGACGCCTCCATGTGCTGAAGCATCGTCACCACGCCAGACTCAAAGGTGGGGTCTTCCACGACACTTGCATCCGGCCCCAGGCGAACCTCAGCGCCAGGGTACTGGACAACGACTTCGTCAAACAGCATGCGGACATCGGCAAGTGTCAACAACTCGTCCTGGAGCGCAAGCGTCACTGAGTTCAAGTCGGTGAGCTGGACAATCAACAACTCCACATCACGATCTTGCCGGCTGTTAAGCAGTACCATGTCGATGTCGTCTAGCCCGAGTTGGAGAAGGAACGGTTTCAACTCGACGTATCGAGCCAACATGGCGACCGATGAGCTCCTTCGTGTCTTGTTGCGCTGTTTGGGACACAATGGTGTCGTCCGGCGAAGCTTGGCAGCAGGAATGATGTTGGACAGCTTCTTCATGATGGCATGTACAGCACACAGCAGGTCCTCATAGTCGGCTAGCACATCACCGACGAACAAGTTAAAGCGATGAGAGGCACAACCCTCCATAGGGATGCCAGCCAAGCGAGTAAAGGCACGGTTCGTGGCGCAATTGTCGCCGATCAGGGCCACCACATTTCGGCGCTGTTTGCCGTACACATCGAGGACAAAGTAAAAAAATTCCAGGAAGGCTGTAGCACTCAATGAATCTTCGTCGTTCATCGACGACAATGAGATCAACACCTTCTCGTATCCACGCAACGAATCACTTGGGAACGACACAAAGACAGCCACGTAATGCGTCGACCCACTTGTCCAGGCATCAAATACACACGCAAACGACTCGGGCAGGGTCTTCTTTAGCTTCGCTTCCAACCAACGACACATTTGGTGCATCCATTTCATGAGCGTCTTGTTGCTGATGGGACCAAGGTTGAGTAGCGGCGAGCCATGTCGTTTTCACAAAAGTTGAAGGGCAACAGCGACGACGTAATCCAGGTCAGCCAGCCGTACACGTTCCGCACACTGCGCGAGAACAGGGGCATGAACAGATTCTGCTCCGAAATCGGGGCTGTGGCGTCATAGTTCAGGTACTCGGGGTGTTCGCGCTCAATGTGCGACGTCAAATTAGTGTACCCTGTGCCGTTTTGTGTGCGGCGCTTCCCACATTTACAGAGCCAAAGCGTCGATTCAGGTGAGGTACGTGTAAAGTACAGCTCGGCGAGTTGTTTTCCACGAAGGGGCGATGGTTGGTTGTTGTCGTTGGTCATCAAAATGAATTGTGTTTGTTTGGTTTGATTGTAACTATGTGTGAAGTTAATGGCGTACGGTTTCTAAGGAATCCTGAGAAACCGGACGACGGCCGGTGTGACGCCACACGAGCTGATCCGCGGAACCAAGCCCATGATCACGTCACTCAAGGTGTTCGGTTGTGTGGCCTGGCGCCGCAACGAGACGCAAGAGAAGACCGCGTCGCAAGCCAACCTGTGCATGTTCCTCGGCTACAGCGAAGTCAAGAAAGCCTACAAGGTGTACGACTTAGAAGACAAGAAGACGGTGTTCACGGTGGACTGCACCTTCAAGGAAACGGAATTCCATCCCCACGTACCGTGTTCGTCGAGGATGACGACGACCAGCGCGACGGCAAATGTGGCACCATGGCGCAAGCCACCAAGGAAGACGTTGACATGGACCTAGCCAACACGCCACCACCACCACAGCGCTCAGCCAGCAGCATGACTTCGGAGCGCGGCAAGAGCCCTTCAATCCGCAAGTCTAGCCCGGCTCGCCTGGGGCAACCCTTCGCTCACTACCCGCCACAAGTCACGAGACACGACACGCGAAACTTGATCAGAGTCGCGCCAACACACGAAAAAAGACTACGGGAATCGCGCTGGGACCGATCGCACCGACCCTCAACCAAGAAGAAGTCGACGTCACCAGCACGAAGCAAGCGACCGTGGAAGGCATGGACGCTGCTAGCAAGCACGAGCCACCGCCGTCGACTCGCGCAATGCTAAGGTCCGTGCAAGCGCACACAACAACCGCACAACCAACGCGGAAGGCGGGCGACCGTGGACAATCGCCACACAAGACCCTGCGGGCGGAGGACACGCGCGGCGTCGCAACAAAATTGCCGTGGCAACACTCCATCGACCGGGATGACTCGTCCGACGCAGCCAACGCAGTGTGCTTCAGATGTGTGCTTCAATGCTACAGACGTCGACGAGGACGTGACCTGGGACGTTCCACGAAGCGATGCAGTCGGCTGACGCCACCGGCTGGCTTGAAGCGTGCAAGAAGGAGATAGGCAACCTCGAAACCACGGAATGCTACGAACTCTCCCAGGTACCAGATGGCACGCGTATATTGAAGTCGAAATGAGTGTTCAAGAGAAAGGAAATGCCAGATAGCACTCAGATCTTCAAGGCGCGCGGGGTAATAACGGGCTTTGCGCAAAGCCAAGGCATCGATTACGATGAAACTTATGCGTCATCCGGGGCGACTCTACGACTCGTCCTAGCTATCGTCACTACCTCCGGCATGAAAAGCCGCCAAGGTGACGCCACAAACGCCTACATTCACGCCAAGAGCGACCGCGAACTGTACATGGCGCCGCCAGATGGGTTTGAAGCAAGAGGCATGGCCTGGCGCATACTTGGCGCCTGGCGCCTGGCGCCCTCTACGGCCTGAAACAGAGCGCACTGCTCTGGTACCAGCACTTCAAGGCCATCCTGGAAGCCCTCAACTTTGCCGCCACGTCGAGCGACAACATTGGTTTCTCGGACTCCTCATGGGCCGACGACCGACCCACCGGGCGCTCGACCTGCGGCTACCTTTGGAATTCGCGTGCGGGCCAATCTCCTGGAAATCCAAGCTCCAAGCCATCGTCACGCTCTCCTCGACCGAAGTGGATTACCTTGGCGCTTCTCTCGGCGACCCGCACGGAATGCACCTCGACAACCTTATGAATGAGCTCGGACTTATCAACTACAAGTGCTGCAAGGACTTTGACATCATCGAAAATAAGGCCGACGGTACAACGGAGGAGTCTGTGAACACCATCGTCGGTTACGTAGCAATCTACAAACCTGAGCGCAAAATGTGGGTAAGCCGATTCCGTTCCATAACCGAATTGCAGACCTTTACAATGTCCACGGAAGCCTTGGTGCATTCAATTAGTGAAGCCTTCGCACATGGAGTCGACATCACATGATCAACTCAAAATGACAGTAATACGTATTGAATATATGCAATTCCCCCCGTGTACTTTTATCTCCATGATAATGTGAAAACCAACATGAGAACATCCGTAGTCTACGAGAAATCACCCATGCAACGCTGATTTGTTGAACGTAGGATAGATCTATGAATCACGTCGTCCGCCATCTTCATCGATGGTTGTTGACAGATTCTCAAGCATTTCTCACTCTCCGACTTGGTCATCAATGCCTCATTTATGAATGTGGTCATCCCTCATTCCACCATCAGTCCGTGTCGGTGTCGTACACCTTACTAGAATGATCACATGGTTGCGCGAGCGGGTGGCGCAAAACGTCTTGGTGGCACCCATCGCAAGTGCTAAAAGTGACAACACCCTGTTCTGTCATGAACATCACCACTGCCCTGAAGCCTCAGGTTGCAGCATTGGCTGCAACTAGTACGAGGTTTTTGAGCCTTTTAGAGGCTTTTCCTCGCTTAGTTGATAGCCAGCCATATCCACGGTACATCATTAGGATGCTGTGTCCTGATTGGCTAGCCATTAGCTAGTCCGTCGAGCCTTTAGAGCCAGCTGTTCACACTGGTGACTAAGCTAATTCACTTTCCGTTTCACCCGCAACCACCCAGTCAGTGTCCCCCCCGGGCTTTTGCACCATCCCACTCTAAAGCCCACCACTGGAGCACTTGCGATGGGTTGCTACCAAGACGTCTTGCGCCACCGCGTTAGCCCACCAGAGCCGCCACGGCATTGCGACCCAACCGAGCGCACATCATAATGTTGCCTGTAAGGGGAGAACCACATTGATATTGATATTGATATTACGCTGTAACGTTAAGATCACTCAGCGGGCACTTAATGCCCTCGGCCGCGTACTAGCTGCTTTTGGAACTAGCGGACATAACAAGTTGGAAAACCTATTTGTTGCAGACTCCAGGAGAAACGATGTGCTTAGGCTGCTGGAGGTAGTCCTTTAGGGTCGGGGGGCCGTCGCGGGGGCCGGATCGGCGGGGCGTTGCTTACCGGGGGGGATGGGGTGGCCGGTGGCAGTAAGGAGAGTCGACGGGAGTACCAGTCACGTGTCTTGGCTTGCAGGTGGGCACGGAGGGTGCGTATGCGGCGGTCATGGCCCGTTGGGGCGGTGTCGTTGTGTAGGCGTTTGAGCCTAATGTTATTGTTAACCTCTGTGAGGAGGGGGAGGTCCCCGGCGGTGCGTATTTGTTCCATATTGGTGGTACATGTGGCGCCCCAGTGTCGGCGGAGGATAGCCAGTGAGCAGAGAACCACTGTTTGTGGAAGTGGGGGGCATGTAGGTGCGTGAGGGAGGCTGCCCAGTCGCGTGTGGATTGCGTCATGGTGGAAAACATTTTCCAGCCGGTGGTAGCCGAGTAGATAGTGTGATAGGTAGCTTCGAGGTAGGTACGGGAGGCATGGGCGTATTGGTCGTACATGGGGATATTGGTCTGGGCCCAGTGGAGGCAGTGGGTGGGGGCTGTCAGGATCCTGGGGGAGGTGTTGCTGGTGTCCATGGGCGGGCATCTGAGTGTTGTGGGTGGGGGGGGGGCGATGGAGCCAGTGAACGGCATCCAGGGGGCGGAGAGCCGCGGTCCAGTGTAGTTGGGCCGGGGTCAGAAGGGGTTGTGGTGCTAGTGGTGAGGAAGCCAATGTGAATGGGAACTGGGTTGCTGGTGGTTAGCTTATCCCATTGGGGTGTGGTGGTATGGTGTATGGAGGTGATAGCTCGGAGGAGGAGTTGGCCCGCGGGTATGGTGAGGAGCCATGTGGTGGTGAGGTTAGATGCTAGTGCATGGCCCAGGGAGCCGTCGGGAACTACGAACCAATATGTGGCTGTGGTGTGGCTGGCGGTTGAGGATTGGATTTCCGCAGAGAGTCGGCGCCACCAGGGGGCGGAGAAGGGATGATGTGTCGCATCGATCCACCAGTGGTTATTTGTGGGGGGGCGGGGGATGATGCAGTGTGTGGAAGCTCCAAGCGGGCCTTGGAATGTAGCTCCGTTGGGGCCGCCCATCCATTGGCCGAACCAGAAGTCTCGGGGTGCTAGGAGGGGTGTACAGCTGAGGGCCGTGTGGTAGAGCCAGCGGGGTAGTAGCCCCCCCCCCGGCTTCCGGCATTGGGTAGATTCCCAGTAAAGGTGGGTGGCCGTGAGAGCAAGAGTTGCCTGGCAGGGTGGACCAAGGAGGCGATGCATGTGGAGAGCCAGAACACAGCGTGTAAGTGTGAGCGCGATCATGCATTGGCCCGAGTTTAGGGAGGGGTTACGACTGCGTGTGTGCCATTGGGGTCTTGTCTGGCCTGTGAAGGTACTTGTGATGGCGTTGCATTGCCCGGGAAGGTATATATATATATGTCTTGGTCGGGAAGCCAGGCTTTGGGAGTGACGGCTTGGGTGGCAAGAAGGAGGGCTTGTGTGAGGGAGGCAGACCCGGGGCATTGCGGGTGCGTAAGTCCAAAGCGGTGTTCCTGCGTTTCGAGGTACCCTTGAGCCGTTTTATGTCCTTGGTGAGAACATGGAATGCATGAACGTTGCTGCTTGAGCCGTAGATGTGTTGCTTGTGTTGGTTTTAACCCTATCGGACGTAAAGGACTTACTTTTCATGAATATATAGGTGGTCAGGCGAAATATATTTTCGAAAGGTGAAATTAACCGTTCGTTGGGTGAAATATATCGGGGGTTGGGTGAAATATAATGGACAAATTTCAATTTGCCGTGAAATATACTACGTAGTAATGGTAATTCGGTGAATTAAAATGAGTGTTAGGTGAAATATATCCGCTGTTGGTGGAAATATTTTGAAAAAAAGCTGAAATGTAAACGCAAAATGGTGTAGTAAGAACTTCGAAGTACTAGTACATATTAATAGTTGTACTGCTGTAGCAGATACAGACAGCAGTACTATGATTGATTGATTTGCAAAAAAATGAACTCGGAAAATTATTGATCGATTTGCTTTTACGACTTATGATTGGATATAATATAAGTTTATACCAATAAGAGTGAAAACATTTTGTCAATTGAACAAGTTAATATCCAATCAAAACACTCAGACAATTCTACTAGTAAAATAGAGTCCGCTCGATCGGTCCAGCTGATGTCTTGGTCGTCGTCGCCCTCATCGTCATCGCAGTTGTTGGCAAGATACAGGCTATCGATTAAACTCGAGATGGCGGCCATCTCCACATCGCGAGCAACTTCGGCTGCCGAAAGCGAAATGTTCAAGTCGAAGTCTTCCTTGTTCATGAAGCTCCTGGCCGTGCTCAACAACCTCGCGTGGGTATACAATTGAATCAGGTAATGCTGCACGCAGCCATGACAACTTTGTCGGTCGTAAGGACACGAGGCCGCGCATTGTCCTGCTGCAGGTACACACGAGTATAAGTGTTCTGTGGCTACTTTTCCTTGATCGCAGGTAAGATGTTGTTGACAAGCATATCCCGGTAAGCCTCACTGGTCACAGTCTTGGGGGCCGTGACAAGTGTTCCACTTGGTCGGTTGCGGCTTGAACATTGCGCCGTAACAGTGTCGATAAAGAACCATGTCCCAATCTTCCCGTTAAACCATTCGTTCATGGAGTGATCCCAGCGAGGACGAGCGACAGCCGAAATATACATCCATTTGATGATGAATCGTTTGGATTTGGTATTGCAGTGAGGTGGAATTAAGCCCGGAGGAAGGTACCATGTTTTCTTCACACGGGTCATATACAACTATTTCTCATCAATGTGAACATTGTTGATCGAGTCATCGACAACAAGACTCGCATTCACGAATCCAATGGCCCACTTGAGACGTGCTGCTTTGTTGGTATCCGTGAGGAATGGCTTAACGGGGCTCGAATGACGGACAAGAAGGCCACGTTTGTAGTACGCATACAGTATAGTTGGCGGCATGTTAAGAATAGATGCAATCGATTGAATCATTGTTCGATCAGTCATGGGAATCGCAGCAATTCGTTTGCAAGGTCCGTGTATTTCTGCTTTCGCCCAGCCACTCCCTTGATACGACTCGATACGTCTTGGCACAGCGTGTTTGATGTTGGGTCAAACTCACCACGCCGCCATAAACACGCAATCCTCTGCGAGTTGCAGCTAAACATTGCCGCCACACGCTGGTAGGACCCATGCGGAAGCTTTCCACTGGTTGACACTAAGAGTAAGAGGTGGTGGGAGATATCGCGGCGTTCTTGCGGTGTCAAGTTCCTTTTCGTTGCAACAGGTTGAGGCATATTGGAGATTGTTTTGAATTTCAATGGGCTTGATAAAATCAAATCGGTTTTCCCGCTCTAAGTTGGCCAATTTTTATCCAAATGATAGGGTCAATCAAGGCCAACATTTTGGTACTGATTTCGAGGGAAACGGAGCATTATTCCATGCGTTATAGCGAAAATACTGAATCGGTTGCATACGTTAAATATTTTTTTAATGTTTGGTGTACAATACTTATTGTTTGTATGGTATAGTTTGAATATATGATTTTTCAAATCTGCCATATGTGATCAATTGCCTTGATTGAGTACGGTGATTTTGGCACCCACGGGTTTATATTCAAGTTTGTATTAAACTTTATACTGCGAAAAATGTTGGACGAAATGCACTGAATTATGCGAAATCACAAATACAAGTGCAAAACGCTCCGCTATCACCTGATACCTTTGGAATGTAATAAATTCTAAAAGTCTTTGAGATATCACAAAATATATCAAATCATTATTTTCGTACTAACAGTAATCCATCAATATCGCGAACGGTTGTCATTATATCCAATCCAATGGCTTCATTCTGTAATGAGGAGTTTTCATTGGATATGATTATATTCAGCCAAAGCATCAGGATACCACCTTGAAGTTCTAAATTATGTTCATTTTTATGTTGTCCAATACAAATTTCAACGTGTACCTTATTATAATTCCTACAAATTTAATGTAGAATTGTTCATTTATAAATTAAAACGCGTCACGACACCCAGGTATATTATTTTGTAAATTAATATTCCATACTTCCTCTGTTCCATAAATCTAGCGACATTTGACTTTCAAGTGTCCCCAATAATTCATATATTGTCCAAACGTGATGATTCAAATCAATTTACAAAGAGAATCAAAAGGTGGAGGAAAAATTCCTTGACTGCGTTGCGCAAACATCAAGTTTTGGCACTCGAAATCAACTTCGTTTGTAGTGGACCAGATATCAATTTTAATACTAATTAAAGTATAGAATATGTTTGGTTCAAGGTTCAATGCTCCGACATTTGAAACACCGAAGATAGGACCACATTCAAATTTGCCGCCATGACCCAAACTCAAGAGAAACGTGAGCTCAAGGTGAAGACAAAGGTGGAGATCATCGTGAGACTGCAAGGCCTCTTGAAGATGGGTCATGCCGGTGCCATTTCTGCTTCCGCCTTCCGCACTTGAAGAAGGGTGCCATGAGACGTGCTGGAACTCTCCAAAACGTCACTTGCCCTGTGTTGCTTCTTGATTACGAGTAGGTTGGACCGATGTAGTTTTAACCAATGAAATGTGTGGATTCATATTATGAGCCGATTATATTCATTTATCACCAGATTTCTGGAACAAATGGTGTTTTGAAATGTCGCCAGATTTATGGAACAGAGGAAGTACATACAAAACTAAGATATTACGACCGTTCGCGAAATACAAAACTAAAGAAGTTTCACCAATTCATAACGTTATGTTATAATTTCAAAATACAAATCGATTATTGGGATATTTCAAGCACTTCTTGGCACTAAAAAATGCAGCTGGATTTATATTTTCCAACGCTACCTTTAGTTTTTTTGCAGCGAACATCATACCTGTGATCTTGCTGTTGGCCAAGGACCGCGGCCATGAGGTGGTCTTCACGCCGCCATACCATTCTGACCTGCAACCTAACGAGATAGTTTGGGCGTATGTCAAAGCGGCTGTTGGGCGCACCTCGACCACCTCGACCAAGTTACCGGACGGACGTTCGCCAGCTGCTGGATCGTGAATTCGCCGGCCTACCGAGCAGCGTGGTTTTCGATTACATCAACCATACCGATCGTAAAGTGGTAGAGATGGCAGTCTACCTGAATGCAATAGATGATGCCGCTGGGGCCGCATTCTCGTCCGACAGCGAAAGCGAAAGTGACGCTGACAGTTGCGACGACAGCAATTTTGCCGACTACGAAGACTACGTGGTGATGTGTAATGCCTGTAATAGTCAATTGTTCTCAAAAAGAATATTGTACTTTGCTTAGCACTCCAGAGGTTGAAGGTCCTGAAATTTGATAGATTGTCCGGAAGGTCGCTCAATGCGTTCGACCATTGTAACAGTAGTTCAGTCGTTCAATTGCAGCTGAATTACCTTGGTTAGTCATAAATATCCGGTATTTAGTGTCGGATGCCGGGTACATTGGTGGATTTTCGGACGCGTCGAACCTTTGATTTCGTATAACTTTTCACCGAGCACGCACTCCTCTATCAAATTAGCCTCAAAACCAGTGACTTTGTATATCGCGATAGACGAATCAATTTACGAATTGACAGTACATAATTTTAAGTTATTTCGACCTTGGTCAATTACGGAGTCATATGTTATACAGTATACAGACCTTCTGGTTAATATCTCACCACATGAGCAATGATACAGTCCTGAAGTGACCACTAAGTGAAATATTATGCAACCATTGATTTTGGAAATCACTCTGGCACTTCGGAAGTCAATAAAATTATAACAAATACAATAAAGCATATTAAGAAAATACCATGTAATCGCCCAATCAAAACAGAAAAAATCAACACGTCACACAAATCAGCCGCGAAAATTGCAATGCACTTGGCGCGAAAACGCACCACAGCAACAAACGACAAGATTTCAAGCGATCGTGTCATCGTGGAGAACTTCTTTGGGCGCCTCAAGACTCTTTGGTCAACTGTCAGCGACAATTATTCGTGGAAGCGTAAGCATTACGACGTCTCTTTCAAACTTGTGTTGCTCTTACGAATGTCCATATTCGTTTTAACCCATTGCGCGACGAAGATGGAGAAGATTTCAATAGGTACTACAATCGATTGATCTCAATTGGTGAGAGAGTGAAACACAAGGGGGCCAGCACCATTTCCAAGTATCACTAAAAGCGCAAGCATCGAATAGGCATTGTACTTACAAGTGAATATGTAGATATGTAGATGTTGCTGCCGATTTTGATAGTGATGATGCAAGCAGTATTTTTGATTAATACTAGTATATCAATTTTTTGTCGAATAACACTCTTTTACGTTTTTGACTATGTGACTGGTAAATGTTGCAATTAAATATAAAGTCACTCTATCCAAAGGAAGTGACTCGGTCAATTGGTTAATCACTCAGTCATTTCGTAAAAATAGAGGCACAAAATTATGTGATGGATTGAATACAATTTGACAGAGTGAGTTTGGAATGTGATGGGTCTATCGACAAACGCTCAGTGACTGTAATGAGAAGAGTATTTTAGATAAATACATAGCGTGTCGGGGTTGCATACTTTACTTGATATGGTAGTTGCGAACAGAATTAACCTCCAATCCTTTGTACAAGGAAAAATTAGTTTTCGCAATTCCTCTACGTACATATTTCCTATGAAAACTTATATATGTTGATTGGTTTGTCCAAATGGCGGCAAATTGAAACCATGGCGCCAACACAACTACAGCCTCATCTCCAACTCAGTCGTGGGCGACCTGCGATCAAGAATTCAAAACGAATGCCCAAGAAACACAAAGACGTCTACTATACCTACCAAAATAAGATGCATATCATCAACTGGCGACGAGACAACGGCATGGAATCTGCATTCGACACCTTCTTCGCCGGTGTGATCGGCCTAACCGCATCAGAAGGAAGCAGATACTGAGATGGGAATCAAAGCGAGGAATCATCACCTTGGCCGCATCCAAGGGCCGAACGAAGGCCATGCGAACACTACGGCCACTTGGCACTTCAACTGTTTTGCCCTACAATGCAGAAGAAAACATTGCACAGTGGGTGGCAGAACTTCGACAGGATAGAATACCAGTGTCCAAGGCATTGCTCACCTGCAAAACCCTTGAAGTTGCTTTCGAGAATGGATTCTCTACCGTACAGTTTGTGGCAAGCCCTGCCTGGATCAAAGTCTTCATGCGGCGATGGAGTTTGGAAATGCGAGTCAAACGCGTTCGGGGCAGGCAAAGCTTGCCGAAGGCGAGAAGGCGCTGGTCGAGTTCAAGAACTCTATACAGAAGATCATCAAAGACCACAATATCGACGAGATATACAACACGGACCAAACAGGCATCAACTACGAGTACCTACCAAAGCAATCCATCGACAAATAGGCGCCAAGACAGTCTGGATCAAGTCGTCGGGGAAAGCCAAGGATCGAATGACAGCCATGGTAATGGCTGACACAAAAGTGACAAAGTACTCGCAGTTTTTGATTCTAAAGACGAAAGCATCAACGATCAAGGAGGTCGTTCAAGAAATTCTTACCCAGCGGTATGGCTTTGGACGCAAAGTTTGGTGCGAGATCGAAGACCTTCAGGCTAACTTTCCCTTGCACATCTACGGAAACCCGTCAGCATGGTGGAACAGCGACATCTCATTGCACTTTTTTTAGTACCTTTTTGGCCATCGCCGAGGAAGATCGCTCAAGCCAGTCTTACTGCTATGGGACGATTTCAGTGCCCACTTCACCGATGATGTCATCGCACGTACCAAGGAGCTTACCGTGCATTTCGCCCGAATCCCACCGACATTCACTTGGTTGGTGAAACCTATCAAGGCGTCAATGAAATTGAAGTGGGTTCAATACCTTCGGAAGGAAGTTGCTCAAAGCGGAGTCGCACGCCGCAAGGACTTTCGACTCAAGTGTCCCAAGCGCTGAGACATCGACGAGTGGATCCATGATGCGTGGGACGCGCTCCCTACAAGAACAGTGATCAAAGGGTTCGAAAAACGTCATCTGGATGATGCCGATACGGACACCTTATGCGACGATGGCGATCTGCAACCCCTGGGCTCGTACGATGGAATGCTGCAACTGCGGCTTTGACAATTGGGTGTTAGGGACGGTTGATGCGCATGACGATGTTACGAGCACGCTGCCTGACGCGGAAGACATGTGTGATGAAGTCTATGGATTATAGTTAGTCTGTGGTAATCTGTTGAAATGTTTACTTACGATTGATGGTGTCATTGTTGGCCCTGCTGTCAAGCACCATGAGTTCAGGGACTCCTCCGAATACCGAATACCAAGGGAACAAGACAGCGCCGGTACCGGCCTAGCAATATTGATGGGCAAGGCCAAGGTGGTCCCACCGACTACTAGGAGCGCGGGCCATTTGACTCTGCCTTGCGAAACTCCCCGAAATCGGTACAGTAATGCCAATTCGCATGTGATGACATGTCGCATTTGTTCGGAATTAACATATCAAGTAATGTATATACCATGGATAATATTATACCACAAAAAATATATTCAAGGACCAAATACTACGTACGATCAAGCTTAAAATATGGGACATTAGGACTTGATAGATACTGTGAAAATCGGTGTTTCAGTATGCTTCTTGGAAGAAACGCTGCTGTACAGTGAATGGGGGAATTTAAGCCACACCTCGAATCGAAGTAAATCATATTATTGGAATATGATTGGAGGGCATACTACGAAATTCGATGAATATTGTGACCAATGATGTTGTTTTGACCAATGAATTTTGTTTATGTGTGTTCTGTATGGTGATTGGCTTTAGATCTGATGAGTAATAGGTAACTTCGATGTGGCTTAAATTTCGATTATCTACCGTACCTTTCGATTCAATGTTGGAGTGGTACTCGGCTGTGACCACTCTGTTTCTAGTCTATTCAATATTTCTATGTGATGTTGGAGGAATATAATTTTATGGGAGTTCTTCGTGGCAATCAAACTCAAATTGAAATCATACAAGTACATTTCTAGGGCTTGCGATGGGACGGTCACGGCATAATGGAAAGTGAATGGAGGTGTCAATGTCAGTTTAC